AACAACAACAACAACAACAACGTCTACAATCAACAAAACACCAACATCTAGTAAAAGCAGCAACGGCAGCAGCAGCACGTCAACATGTCCAACACCAGTATACTTATTGCGGTCGCCTTGAATACTAGCCCCACGGCATCATGCATCATCACCGGCATCGTCGGCAAAAACACCAGTTGTAGCAGTAGTGGTGGTATTAGTGATAGTTGCTACTAGGAGGAGTAGTTGTAGTAGTAGTAGTAGTAGTAGTAGTAGTACTAGTAGTAGTAGTTTTGCCTCCTACATGGCTGAGCGAGTCGCGAAGTAGGGTCCAAGGAACATAGGAGGAGTAAATTCCAGGTAGGCGTGACTGTAAGCCTCCACATGCAGTAGTAGTAGCAGTAGTAGTAGTAGTAGTAGTAGTAGTAGTAGTAGCAGCAGTAGCCGCAGCAGCAGTATTGGCATTAGTAGCAGTAGTAGCAGTAGCAGTAGCAGTAGCAGTAGCAGTAGCAGTAGTAGTAGTAGTAGTAGTAGTAGTAGTAGCAGTAGCAGTAGTAGCAGTGGCAGTAGTAGTAGAAGAAGTAATAGTAGTAGTAGTAGTAGTAGTAGTAGTAGTAGAAGAAGAAGTAGTAGTAGTAGTAGTAGAAGAAGTAGTAGTAGTAGTAGTAGTAGTAGGTAGTAGTAGCAGCAACAGTAGTAGTACCAACAGTAGTAGTAGCCACACAGCACCCCGAACAGAACAGCAGAGTCGACCCAAAGCACTTGCCTCGCGCATTGCTTTCAGGTTCGCTGGATTGTCCTGTGCATCCAACCGAGATTTGCTAAGCTTGGTTTAGCTCGAACACAGACTGAGACTCCTTGCCCATCACAAGCAGGGCGCCGAAGCAGTTCCTGGCTTCCAGTAGCACGTTCTGAACACTGCGAAAACCAAGGGTGCGGGGAGGTTTTACGCATTTTGAGTGACTCTATAACGTTGGCCCAACAGGCAGCATGCACTGGCTTTCCAGCTTTGCAAGCCTATGGGCACATGCAACCAAAAGCTGCACCTCCAACTACCTCCCTGCCTCTGCCTTGGCTGTTTCCGGCCGCCTGCCTCTGCCTGCCTGCCTGCCTACCTGCTTGCTGCTTGCTGCCTGCCTGTCTTCATGCCGGTGTGCCTCTGTCTGCGTGGGAACCTATCTACCTGCTCGCTGCATGCATGCCGTTGGAGTCTGTCGTCTTGGTCTCCATGGTTCACAGTTGGTTGTATGATGCAATCAAGCTCGGACGCTGCGCACGGAAGTTTAAATAGGATCCGCATGTCCAGGATATTATTAAGCTACTACGAAGCTTGCAAATCAACAGCTTACATCACTATATGAGAGCCCAGGATTGCATGAAGCCTTACGAATGTGTGACCCAGTCAGCGAAAGGCTCTGCGGTTTATGCTTGCCCAAACTCTTGATTGCAAAAGGGCGCCTAGATTAACATTGAGCCTGCAACCCTCAACCCTAAACCGTGGTAACCCAAATCTACGCGCTGTCCTCTTGGCAGGATACGCCAAGTCCAAGTTGAAGTTGAAGGACTCGTGGTCAAACTGCACCAACTCGGCGTCTGACATGGCAGCAGCCAGAAGTGCCTGTTTGGCTAGAGCAACATAGCGGCCTTGATGATTAGGACCAGGTCGACTATACTAGAGCTATAAGAAACCGCGCTGGGAATAGTTCGTGGGACTCGGGGTTCGGTGCAGGCAGATTTGCAGTAAAGCTGTTAACCTGGAGCTATAAGCATTTTCCTGGAGCTTTGCATGCAAAGCTCCAGGTGTTGTGCACTCAGTGCTGAGAAAGTGCATAATGCAGAGGGGTTAACCTTCGACCACACATGATGACTGGACGTCAAAGGCAACAAGTGGACGTGGTGATGGTGACGACGATGATAAGATGTTGGTGATTATGATTTTGTTCAACGACGCTGCTGTCGAATAGCCAGTCAGCTGACGACGATCATGCGGGAGTGGTACTGGGACGAATAGCTGTTGGTGCTGACTACTACACTCCCATGTCGACCTCTACAAGCGGTATTTCCCCAGAAGCTTACCAGCAGAGTCGAGGATTTAGCGGATTCGCGCTGCTATCGTTGGCTGGTTGAGACATGACTGCCACTGTCGTGTCTTGGGAAGATAGGCTCCCGGCCTCCAACATTTTGCCCTTGGTTGCCTGCTCCTGGATACTGGCATTGAAAGGGATGACGTGAATTGACGAAACGGGATCTCCCAGTGGTTGGTCTGTTCCGATGACATATTGTGTGGCCTCGCAGACGAGACTGATGGCACCCCCGTCGGTGGGATTGTCGTACAGCACGCCTGGCAAGACCTCAAAGATACCCAACTCCGACCATCTGCTGCGGTAGAAGTTGGACTCGAATGCCATGGCCTTCACCGCCTGCAGGGTCTCTTCGGCAATCTTTGTCTCGTTTCCGTGTTCCTTCATCAGTTGCACTCCCAGCGAGGGGAAGCCTTCATGGTAGGCGATGTCTCCGTTGGTCCATGTGCCTGAAGACAAGGCGTACAGAGACTGCTTGACGGGCTCAACTGCCCA